TTGCTATTGCTATTGCTATTGAGCAATTTCATTTTTCTATCATCATTACTCGCTTGAAAATTTAGGCAAAAAAGTTAAATAGTATATTGATTTCATGCAGACTAATCAGATATTTAAACATTTTACTTATAGCTATTGCATAAGGTTTTTAAAGTAGATTTATTGTACTTACAGATTAAAATAACATTTCTAAAAATAATTAACAGAGGTGGGTTGCTCTTGGTTCGGCCCGGATTGGGCGAACAGATAGTGGCATCGGCGTGAGCCTCCGCCCAACTGCCTGGACGCTTCTGCGCAGGCACCGAAGTGTCGCGAGCACACTCACACACACTCGCAAACCAGTAGTAAAAAAAAATTGGAAACCTACCACTGTAATTAACCCTAGATTTACTTCAACATATTGGTTTGCTAAGGTAATGTACTTGTGATTCATTTAAGTGTTAGTGATTTGAATTTTAAAATTTTGTTTTTTTATTTTTATCTACTATTTACCTGCTTCATAAAAGAAGAACCACTTCTATATTTATCATTGTATTTACTTATTTAGTAATCAATATCACTTCACATTTATAAGGTCAAAGGTCTTTCCAAACCAATAACAAATGTTTGAGGTTAATTTAAATACCGTGGATATTACTCAAATTGATTTTTATGTTAGTATTCTGCAGTAAAATAATATTTTCAGGCAAGCTCATATTAGCATCCTAGTCTATTTGACAATCATATTATTGTTTTAAGTTGTCCAGCCTTTATTGTTAGCCCTAGCTGACAGCAGAAAGTACGTTGGGTTAAAACTGGACTAATTCTTGAATGGAGACTGCTGGAAAATTCTAAAGTACTAGATTTAGATCAAGAATTTTTTTAAAGGCCAGAAGAAAGCAAATCAGTTCCATACAATTGTCATGATGCTACATGGACACTTCCATGCACTCACCAAGTTTTAGCTCAGCTTGAGGGAATCATCATTTTTTAATATTATGGGAGACCACTATATTTGCAGAATTAGTGTTACTATGTTTGGTTTATATTTTACCTTTCCTCTCAGGTGTGCTTTTTTCATCCTGTAGTGTACATCCTGTACACTAAATTGTAATGTTTTCTGCTTCAAATACCTGGACCCTTAATTTTATACACATATGCCTGAATTTCCAGGTTCCCGGGCACATAAACTGAATCAGAGAAAACTATGAACTGTCTTTACAATTACAGTTTTAACATTTCAGGTATTGATTGGTCCATATAATAAGACGAACAAAAATAGCTCCTTTGCTCTCTCTTATGGGTATTGTAGACTGTTTTGTTTGTTTCTCCTCTCTTTTTATAGTTGCTCCTCACTCTTATTTTCACCTTATACTTTTCTTTTAATTGTTTAAAAGGTGAAATTGTACAGTGGCTTAATCTAGAGGCATGGGATGATTGTGAGGAACCTTAAGATGCACTTAAATTTTTTCTTCAAGCTCAGAGAGAGGCTCTGAATCTAATCTAAGAAGGAAAAATGTAATACAGTACATTGCTCTGCCTATACCTGAATTTTCTGAAGGACCTTTTTAAAATATCCATATTAGGTAGGGAAAGCAGGGAAGATTGAGAAACATAGTATGGAAAAATTAGTGTGGTGTTGAATTATCAGGATCATTTTCTACTAAAGCTTTGGTTTAAATTCCATTGTTAGCAGTACAGAGGGAAATTAATTTTAAAAATTCTAGGAAAAATAACAAAACTTCATTTCCATCTTGCCATTTTATCATAGAACAATACTGGATTCATAACATCCTTCTGTCTTGCTTTGTGTTTTGGATAAAGTTTACCATTATAGGAAACAGTTGTACTTGTTGGGCTACTTTTAAACCCTATATCTAAACTTTATATCTAAACAAAACCATAAATAAGTTACCTAACCAAGTGCCTAAGGAGATTCTCAGTTATCCAGGTCATGGTTGTCCCAAAAGTACTTTTTCAAAAGGCAACTGGATTTTCTTTATTTTTCTCAAAGATATTTTGCTTGTAATCCAAGAAGCATCCTCAGTTCTGATTAAATGCGGGGGATGCTTCTTGGATGAGGAGCTAAACTTCTTTGAGAAAAAATAAAGTATAGCTGCTTTTTGAAAAAGCGCCTTTGGGACTAGCTAATCAGTGATAAAAAGAAAATTAACATAATAAAAACAGTGCTGAAAATTACTTGGGGGAAAATCAGTTAATATTTTCTCCAATTTTCCTTTACTTGTTTGGTAAAAATGTTCATAATCAGACAATTCTCACTTGTTGGTGTTTTCTTCCACAGTACAAAGAATGATCACTTCAGTGTTAGTATTCAGCCTCCAGTTGGAGAGTTACTTTTACCAGTAACTATGACGGAAAAGGATTTCAGAAAAGAAAGAGGTGAGAAATAAATTTGAAATTCGATAAATAAATTATCTTATTGTAAAATATTGTAAGCATTTCAGACATCTCCAGTTCTAGTGTTTCACCTGGCATATTTCCAGAAATCTGCTCTGAAGTTATATAGCCCTGTCATCAAAAACTTCACAATGCCTGAAGTGTCTTCTTGGACAAGCTTTTCTCCTTTTCCCTCTTTCTACCATGTGGTGATTTCACTGCAAATACCAAAAAATGGTATTAAGGCAGACCTCTTCATTATATCATATTAACCAATATTAAGCTAGAATTCTGCTATTCAGCTACAATGAGAATTTCTGGTGTATAAAAAACATAGTTTTGGCACTGACTATAAAATAGAACATGATGGTTTTATATTGAATCTGGTGTATACTGGCTGCATAATATCTTCAGCTACATTATAAAAAGGTTTATGCACTCAGTTGCATTATTTTTTTTACAATAATTTAATGTCATACTCAAACAGTGATTGTTAATTTTCAAAAATTCTACTTGGTTTACCTGCACAAAATATAAGAAGGTCTTCTTTATTAAATAAAATTTTCTTCGCAATTGAGCTTTTCTCCTAACAAAACATCCATGCAGCTTTCTACTGCATGGAAATATATTTTCACGAATATTTTTCAATTTCTCTCTCTACCCTAAGCCCCAGTATTTCCTGGTAGTTCTCCATCCAAATATTAGCCAGGCTTGAGACCCTGCTCAGCTTCCATTGGCAAATATGCTTATACAGGTTCTGTCAGCTCTTCCATATTTCATATGCTTTTTAAAATGGCGTATGTGAGGTTATACTCTCATATCGTCAATAATTTCAGTCCAGTATATCACATTTTCCCCTCCCCCACCAAAACCCCCCAAAAGGTGCTTTTGTTAAAGAAGCATAGTACATCAGAATAATACTGTATATGTCTTTCTATCTTGCATTCAGTGGCTTGAAATAATAACTCAGCAGTTATTTCAGTTAGATTATTTTCATGCAGTTAATATCTGATATTAAATTTAGGCCAGTAATTTCTTTTTTTAATATGTTCATAACTATTTACCATTCTTACTTCTTGCTGGCCTAAAGCCTACTTCATGTGAGCACAGCAACCAAGGTGAGTGAGCCTTTGAATTTTCTCATATTTTTTGTGAACAATTTCCTTCAGCTTCTCAAATTGCTTTCCAGCAGTGTAGTTTTAAGCAAAATGGGATATTGTACCCTGTCTCTCTCCCATTCTTATTGCGTGCTTGCTTGCCTGGTGTTTGATTGAGTTTTCTATGCTTAAATGTGACTGAGAGCTTTTTCCCCCCATGGTTGGCCATTCAGAACCAAGAGTGCATAGAAAAAGTGCACTTTGAGAATAGCTGTGGCCCTCTATGGAGTTGTTGCCAAAATTCCTTTTTCTTCTGCCATTTTACTTCTGAGGTTGTTGATTATTTGTCTGAATACATCTGGCAGTTGTTTGCTATGTTTAATAGAGCAGAAAGGCTACTCTGAATAAGCTATTTGAAAATTTGCTTATATGAAGTATTTGTAAATCCATGGAAGCCTCTTGACATTTCAGTATGGCTCTTTCTGTCTTCCTGAATTCATTCTTTGATGCAGGACTGATGCTGTGAAATTTACCCCTAGTTTAAAATTTCTTTCTCTTTTTTGTTAAATATTTTGGCTATTTTATAAAATTCATAATAATAGAAGTCTTCGTTCTGAGCTTTATTTGTTTTATAAATAAGATTAAGAAGCCATTGAGAAAATATAGAAAAGGGAATTCTTAAGCAGAGCTATTAAATCGGATTGTATCCATATTTGGCCTGATTCAGGCAGACTTGGAAAAGCAGGCATCCTGCAACTGAAATTCCCCAAATATTGTGTGATATAATGCTTACTAAATGGGTATGTTCATATTGTGATGCAGGAAACATAAAATCAAGGGTTTTCCTGCTCATAGGTTTCCCCAGGGAAGCCTTCCATGAATAGAAGGACATCCTAGCTTCTTACACCAAAGACATCCCCTTTAGCAGTTATCTCAATCTCTGTACAGCATTTCAAGGAATTGTAGTAGGCTTACGTGGAAAGACCTATAAAGTATGCAGTCCAATTCTAGCTCTCTGATCATTTCCCACATCATGCTCTCACATAAAATGATATAATGTACTTCTGTTTAGTTTGTTGCTGCAACAAGCTAGCCCATTGTGCTCTATTCAATAAACTGTAATTAAATAAGCAATGGCTTAATGTGATATACAAACTCAACCATTACAGCAGTTACATCCGGTAGATTCTGTACAGCATCCCATAAAGCTTCCCTATGCAGGAGTAGACTGAATTTCATAGACCAGGAAACATAGTTTGTTCCATCCAACTGGGCTATCATCGATAGACTTGGTGATAGGTCGCTCACCATCTTCTCCAGGATAGTACAATCACTAAATAAACACCTGTCTGTATACGGTATTGCATATCAACACCAACTCTCCTTTAGCTACGTCTGGTAAACTGTGGGCCCATACATAGTGTTAGGTAAGCTCCCCGTTGGGAGAGAGAGTGTGTTCAGAGAAGCGTGAGAGTTGTGTTGGAGAACACACAAACCAGCAAACAAAGACACTGCA